TTTTTTTAATATACTATTTTTTCTTTCAAACCTTGTGATATGAATAAACTATCCTGTGTTTTATATTCCTGTCCATGACTTATTTAGATTGTGATATTGCATTCCCTTTATATAGATTAGGCCTCAATTACAAAAAAAATTGGATATACATTGAATATTAACTTTAAATTCTACAAACTATTGTGGTTAAATTCTTTAGCTATAATCACTTAAGATACATGTAATATTAAATATCAAAATATCATTAATTATAGAAGTGGAAAAAAATTGAAACAAGGGATAAACAATTCTTTATAGTCTTTTTTCTTGTTTTTTTCTTTTTAATGCTACATCAATATTGAGATGTGTTCTATAATGAGTGCTATAAAATATATTAACTTGTATTTAAATTACCCCGTCATTAAGTTAAAAAATTAAAAAATTAAAAAATTAAAACACACACACATCCAATTTCTTGTTCCTGTTTATAAATTAAAATTACCTTAACGTTTCAATCCAATGATACAATCATAAAACTAATCAAATCCATCCTCTATCAAACCACAACTTTATTTCTATGAAACTTCAATTATGCTTATCCAAATCCATAGGAATTTAATCCCATGCCTTTTTCCTCAAGCGCATTAACTAACATACAATTATGAGACTAGATCCTTTAAACCCTAAATCTCCCAATCCTTCAATGGTCCTTGTGAGGCCCCTTCGCCGTGGCTTATCTATTGCCGGGGTAGGTAGGGCCCCCTAAAGTCGGTAGGTAGGTTGATAATGAGACAATTACTGCCAATGGGAGAAGGAGCGCGGAAATTCTGTGAGTCTGTGGACCCCATTCACACTGCCAAAGCAGCCTCCGATTCTCAAGTGGGTCTATAAAGGAGCTTTTTGCCAACCCTAATTGCAAGCCTGGCCCGCCTTAACCCACTTCCCAGCCTTTTCTCTATAACACACTCCCCTGTGCACTAAAAGAAAAAGCTAGCACTTCAGTAAATAACATGAGTGAATTTTTTTTTCCAGTTTGACTTCTATAGTTAAAAATTGAAGTATAATGGAAGAAATGATAGTCAGAAAGTTGAGAAGCATTCATCAGTTTTTTGAACTGTAAATAAATAAGTCCAATCAAAACTACACATGTGTCTTTTGACTTCGAGTCATTGCATTATGTGGAAGTCAATTGGTTGTGTTACTAGAAGTCAAGTCATTACATGTTTGGGGTATGGAACCTCTCACATTTGTTAAAAAAGGATCAAGACAAAACTTATTTTTAGCACTTGTCATCTCTTACAAAAACAATTCACTAGGGAAACCAAACAAGACAAAAACCATCTCTCATTGGATGCATATCTCATTGTTTTTATAAAAAATGAGGCAAAAATGAAGCAATTACTCAACTTTTAATCAATCAGAGATCTAAATTTGCATGTTGTTGCTGTAAATTGTGGAGAAAGTAACATTGCTAGACCACTAAGCGTGAAGCTTAGAAGCTCCTCATTGAAATTTTCAATAAATATTTTTTGGGACCAGTGACACGAGTTTCCACTAGTTAGTTTATATTATAGCATTGTATAGATATAATATCAAATCTCAAATGTATATTTCTAACCAATTTGATTACTATGGTAAAAGTTGAGAACATTTATCTTGCTATGGCTGACTCAGAAGAAAGGTAGACTTTGATTTGTGATCATCATTGGCGTATATCTATTTACATCAGTCAAGAGTCTGCCAGTCTGGGAATGTTTAATTAATCGTCCCTTCTCACAAGAAAGCTATACTTGTGTAGTCAATCTTCTATTTTCTTTTTTTTGACACAAAAGAAGTTATTAATTATGTTAACCTGTCCCCCAACAAAATAAGAAGGGTTTGTGTTCCCAAAAGCATGGTCAGCACCTTTGGCAGTGGTGATGAAATCCTTTGAGCTTTGGAAAGGCTGACCTTGACCAAGCTAACCAATCTCTGTTTTTATACCAAAATAAGTCTTTGACTATCTCTCTTTTTTTTCTCTACTTTTTCATTATATGTATGTATGAATATATGTATGTATGTATATGTATATTCTATATATGTATTTTCATATTTGAATACACGTACGCACTCCCTCATACAGTCATACATGTATTGACATACTCTTTAGTTTAAACTCAGTTTACTGAACATGTGTGAATTGTCTAGTTTTAGGTACTTCTGCTCTAAATCAACTACAGGAGTGAGAAATTTCAAAGGTTTTATGTTTTTGTGATATAAATATGTAGTTGTTTAGACAAACATAATCAAGTAATTTGAGGAATTTATACAAAAAATAAAATGTGTTATAATAATTGTAAAATAAAAATGTAATTCATGGACATATTCTGCAAATTCTCCACATGGGTTCTGTTCACAAATGATCACATTCTAATTAAATTAATTATCCAACATTGATATTTATTTCTAAATAATTTTTTACTTGATATAGTCTTACTGAAGCACATATTCCATTATTATAAAAACATCCTCAATTGTCTTACTTTTACTTTTAGTTCACTTTTTTTTTCTCTCTCCCAATGATTTCGGAGAATTTCTTGTTGTTGATTTTGTTTTTATTGCTTTGTGTAGTTAGTTATATTAATGAACCACCACTCTCATATTGGTAAACATTAGTGACAAAGCATGTCTGCATTCATAGCAATTGCATGCTATCTTCGATTTCCAATGATCTTGGTTAGTTTCTATGATTTGAATGTACCTAATAGTGTTAAAAAATCATCTATGTTTATTAGCATATACATATATGCAATTGAAGACTTGTCAAATATTAAAGTGTTTTTTATGGTGAAAGTCATGACAATATACTCATGGTTGGAACTGTAAAAACTCTGTTTGGTTATGTTGAATTTATCCTCTTAACCATATTGAGCATAGTTTCTATATACATATGGAATGTTATTTTTCTCCCTCAACATTTCAATAGCAATCCTATTAAAGGCCTTAAACTATTTGTTCATTTATTACTGTCTTTTCATACTCTTTCACACTACAGCACACATCAATTTCATTACTTTCACCGTTATGATTGGATTGCAGATGCTTGTTTTACAGTTGTTGGTAGATGTCCCTTTGTCCTGCATGCATGATCTTGTATTAGTTATAAATAATTCCCTTCTTAAACCAAATCAAAAGTTAAAATTATTCAGGATCCAACCATTATAATATATAAACTTAAATTTAAAGGAGGAAATGAAAAAAAGCACAGAACACGGAAAGTGCAACACCTCTTTCATGTACAAAATTTAAAAATTGATTAAAAAAAAAAAAAAAAAAAACTGTGAGATAGAATTGAATGTGAGAATGAATAACATCATTCCTTTCTCATTATCATCCAAACCATCATCTAAATTATCATCCAAGTTATTATTCATCCAAGTTCCCACAAATTCCACTTATTGCTGACTCATCACTTGCTTTTGCCACTGTTCCACTAAGTGGGGGGGAGAAGGGATCGCGCAGGGAAAACAAGTCGGTAATAAATATGGTGCGAATTATCTCCTTTACTTCAGCATTCATCACTAGTGCAGTTTCTAAAACTTGAAAGGGAGCCGAAAGTCTGAAGGGGCGCAGAGAATTTTCCCAGGAAGCTGCCCGGCCCTTAAAGGCGTGCTTTGGCCATGTTCTCTTGCCAAAGCACAAAGATAGAAAAACGCATGGGGGACAAGGATATGCATGGTGGGATTATTTTTTATTATTTTCATTCCATGGCAGCCTCAGTTTGCCCCCTCCGCTACCACATGTGCGCCACCCTTGATTTATTCCCGTTTTCTGCCCTAGAGTTTCTTTGGAAATTTTACCGGAGGATTTCATCCATCGGCGGCAGTCTGGGTTCTGCCCTCCCGCTTCCCCCCCGCTGCCTCCGCGGGCCAAAACAGATTTACGCGAAAGAAGTGTCCCAAATTAATATAAGTAACGTGAGAAGTCAGCAGCTGGGAAGGCTGGGGCGAGTGGCAGTGGATTCTAATTGTGTTGGGATGGTTCAGGATTCGATACCATGCGGCAGCGCCGAAGACCTTCTACAGAAATCTCTGTTTTAGCCCTTCTTTTAAATGCCAAATCGCTTCGCCCTAGACCTCCGTAAGCATCTGCTCCTCGGCCCTGGGTTCCGATTTGCGGAGGATGCCTCAGGTGAGGGCACGACCGGACATAAAAATAATATTGTTGAGATGGCCCGGAATCTATTCATGGATGAACAAGAGTACTTACCATGGTCTCGTTCTGGAGGATGTTTCGCCGTCGCCTGTGTCGCCCCAGCCCTCGGCGTCGGTACTAGTGTTTTATCCTCTGGTAAAGCAGCTCCTTACAGAGAGAAGGTATCAGTAACTCGAGGTGGTTAATTTTGTCCTTTCTCGGCTGGCAGTCATAGCCTTCGGAAGCCGTACGAGGAACAAGCTGCGCTTATTATCTGGGGAAGGTCATAACAGAGATACCGAACTACAAGAACCTTCATGTTTTATGGTATTTCGCTTCTATGAGACCTTGATTCAAACCCTCATCACCAAATAGTATCAAAATAAAATAAAAATTAACAGAAAACAACTACAATCACTACGTTAGCTTATCGTTAACGCGCATAAAAAAGTAAAGTCAATATCTAATTGATAACATAATTGTGTAGACGCTGTGGAGGCTGTGAAATGGCAGTTTAAATCTCATTGACTCAAGCTGAAAAACGTGCTATTTAACCTGCAGTACACGTATAGATTGACGTGGCATTCAAGTCGTAAACATGGAACGGATTGCTCCGAGAGGAACGCATGACTTGAACCAAATTTGAAACTAGGGCCAACGAGGAGTTGGGAATAGGAATATATGCATGTATGGCTTGTGTACGTATATATTCTCCATATATACAGGAGATACGGATTCGGGACTTTAGCTTTTTCAGGCATGGAGTCGATGGGGGGGGGGTGCATGCATGACCATGGGGGATGGGATGGTATGGCCCTAGAGGTCGACTCCGACTGCATCGTGTTCGGCTGCTTTGTCTCTCTGGAGTCTTCTGTATGTTTTTCGACGGGCCTTGAGCGCGCTCGCAATTCCCTCCTCAACCCCGCCTCTCTAACGGATTCCTGCGTCCCCCCCACTCCCATGGTTCCCTTCAATCTCTCCTTCGTTCGCCACTTTAACGCACCGTGCCTCGTTTTAAAGCCATTACTCGGCCATTTTCGTGGACCCTTGCGTAGTCTCATAGGCGGAGCGTTTTTTTTGTTTTTTTTTGTTTTGGACATGCGATGTCGTTTGCCGTGGTAAAGAGACTGCATGTTGGTAGTGTTCGGTAGAACGAGGGATAGGGAGAGAGATAGAGATAGAGAGAGCGAGAGAGTGCGGCATTGGTGAGCCTGACGCTGTGGACGAGCAGGCGTTGTGGAACTTGAACGAATCTTCACCTGAGAGGCGCTCTTACAATTTTTTTGCGTGAGCCATCTCCACAGATGGGCAGGCATAGAGAGGACTTTCTAGGGACGATCGAGAATGGATTGTACTGGGAAGCGCCGGTGTTGAATCAATGCCGTGACCACAATAACGGTATTGGTAACGGGTGTGTGCATTACGTTAGTAGCTTCAAATCCAGAAGTATGTTCAATGGCAGGACGAGTAATTTGGAGAGAACGAGTACAGCGTCGGCGGGGAAGAGTGGGAAGTGGCCCAGCGCTTACCGGATACTTATTGCTGTTCTGGTGGTTTTATTCCTGATTGGCACTGTCACTCATGGATTCGTCTTCCTTCTGTTTGGCTATACCGACTTGCAAGTGGATTCCCCGAAGATTTTTCCAACGGTTTTTGCATCGGAACAGGAAACACCGAACGACGACGTGAAATTTGTGCCGCGCAACATAGTGGAGAGATTGTTGTTATCAAAAGGAAAAGTCACCGTCGCTGATTTGAGGAAAGAAAAAAGATTTCCTGTGCGACCTCCGCGGCTTGCCTTGGTACGCATCGACAATTTTTCTTGATCGCACGTGCTTGTCGTTCATCACGAGGCATAGTGTAAGTGTGTTCTACGTCATTGGCAGTGAGGACGTTTCCGATGAAATGCTTAAAACTTCACTACAGGTAATCGTCATCGTTTACAAGTCAAAGCCGCGAACCTTTCGTAGGGCCCGTTGGAACGACGGCATTCACCCTCGCTTATCCTTTCATCTTGTTGTGCCACTAATCCCCACAATTGAATCGTAATAGCGTTCTAGAAGTGGGCTTACGAATCAGTAAAGGGTCGCAGAATCGACGGATTGCATCAATGCCGTACAGGATTAGTATTGTTCAAAAAGAGTTTTCGAGGTCCATTGCAGACGAATCAATTCCAATCCTTATCGGATTAGCGTAACGATTGGGCAAGTCAGTGTTGATCGTCGAATAGAGATGTAGTGTGAGTAAACATGAATCTTTGAGACAGTAGTTAGACAATTAGAAGAGAATTCCTTTCACAAGGCCCAATCAAAGCTTCTTGTGCTAACTGACTTTGTATGGGGAACCGCTAGGGAATGTTTTTAATGAATGTTTGGCAATATCAAGCTCTTTTTCTTTTATTTTTAGCAGCAGCACAGAAGATAACCAGGTTGGTTTCGACACGCTGACTGCACTGATCCTGGATTTCATGCAATCTCAGATTTGTAACAGTTTCCTTTGCGTCTCTGCAGGTTTGTCCCAACCTTGTCCGGAATCCGCTCTCTTTGTATGTCCTTACTCTTGCAACAGGATTGCAAGAACTGGGCTACGACTTAGAGGTAAACGTGATTTCTTTGACGACTTTCAAATATGTGCACAACCTTTCCCACTACACAGACCCTTCAAGTATAATTCCTTTTTGTTATTTAGTTTCTTTTTGTTACTCCCCCCCGCTTTGCTGAAAATTAGTTATCTCAGTTTCTACCTAACGTTAGGTTTTCTATGATGGATTAACATCTTGAAACCGAGGTGACAATTTGACTTTCATTAGATGATATTTTGGAATTCTAGGTGATTTTATTTTATTTTTTCTCGTCATGGATAGTGAGGACGTCTTGTTGATACATGATGCAGGTGCACACTCTGAGAGATGGAGAGCTCCGCCCAGCTTGGGAGGCCTTGGGTGTGCCAGTCAGGCAACTGAGAATTAACGTTCAGAACGTAACTAGTGTTGACTGGCTGAAGTAAGTACTGTGTTCTGTCCAGCCAATCATTGAAGTGTCTTACAACTATCTTTTTCTTTATATCAGAAGTATTATGCGGAAGTCTATTCTATCACAGAAGATTGTTACCTATAGCCAAGAGCTTGCGTTTAATAGATCTGCAATAACCATGTATTGTACGTGACGAGGATGTGATATGTCGAATGAAATCTTTGGGCGGTTAAACATCCATGAAATCCTGATTCTTGTGAATGGTTTATTCCAATGTTGTGCAGCTATGAAGGTGTTATTTCTTTTTCTGTCAACACGAAAGCTGTCATAAATAGGTATGTGTATGAAATTTTTCTATCCCAAGGCTGCCCATGTAAACGAACCGCATGGGTCTTATTCTTTATTCCTTCCATCATTTTCTGCTTCTCACTGGTGCGCATCAAATGGTGATTTTGGCTGTGACAGAATCTAGCACTAATAGTGTGCTGTTTTTGAGCCAGTCTTGCGCAGGAGCCCTTCAGAAATATCCCAGTTGTATGGGTAATAAACGAGGATTCCCTAGGCCGACGGCTCGAGGATTACGGTTCCGCGGCTGCAGAGGGACTCATCTCCGACTGGAGACATAGTTTTAAAAGAGCAGATGTAGTGGTTTTTCAAGACTATGCACTAACGGTATGCTTCACTGGAGCTATCTTACCTGGATTACTTTATATGTGTGACCACCAGTCCGTGCCATGTACAAAATTTCGGTTATCGTTACTTTCTGAAACCGCTGTTGACTATGATTTCCGCTTCAGAAAAGGTTTCTTGAACTGTTGAGAAAGTTCAATGCAATCGGGTTATTGTATTCTAAGTAGCAACTTTAAAAAGATGAATTTGGTCAAGAAGGACTACTTGAATTTGTACTGACCATCCGTATTCGTGCCTTCAGATGGTTTACACCATGCTGGACACTGGAAATTTCTTCGTCATTCCAGGATCACCTCTAGAAGTGTGGACTGCTGAGAACTACAAAATCACACATTCTCGAGACAGCCTACGTGCACAGTATGGGGTGCATCATGATAGCTCCGTAATAACTGTTGTGGGGAGCCCTTTCCTTTACCATGGATTGTGGAGAGAACATGCTCTAGTCATGCGTTCGTTAGCAAGATCTGTGTCAACATTCGGTGACGCATCTACAAAAGGTGATAGGCTTATCCAGCTATTTATCATTGGCCATGGCAACCAATCAAGCAGCTATGGTGCTTCCTTGCAGGTGAAGTGTGCTGTTTTGAAATCTTTTTAGCGACATATTGTGCTCGTGAAGTTTGCCTTGAAGTAAGAGTAGCTGAAGTAGACACATTACGCGGTCTACAATGAAGTTTCTTATGTCACATTTTTGTTGATAGGTTGATTTGTAATGAGTGAGACATTTTGATTTTGGCAGGTAGAATGAACTAACGATAGTTTTGTTAGGATCGATATGTGCGGTCCCAAGAGGGTGAAATGCGTGTATTATAGCAATCACATGGTTTTTTTTAATGGTGGCCACAGATTATGGCAGAGCATCTTGGGTTGAAGAATGGCACAGTACGTTATGTAGGTGCTGGTGAGGATGTAACGGGCGTGGTGTGGATGTCGGATGCCGTTGTGTATGGATCATTCCGTAATGAACAGTCGTTTCCATCGATATTGAGTCTGGCCATGAGCCTTCAGCGGCCGGTGATCATACCCAACCGAAGAGTATTTCGAGAGCAAGTAAGATTGAATTTGGCGATGGGGGTGGCGGAAACAAGCTTTTCAATTATTCGTGTGAATTGGGTCACAACGTTAGTCGGAGATCTGGTTGACAGATGTTAACTAGAAACTTGGAATTGGTGTAGCATGGAGTGAGATTTGATAATTAGAATTTTTCTGTGCACAGTTTCTGGAGGTTCAGTGGTTTGGACGTTGGTTTGGGTACATGTGTGGTTCTGTAACTGATTGGATTTGAAATTATGACACAGATTGTGGATGGAGAAAATGGCATCTTGTTTCCTGTGGGGGATGACGTGAAACTGAGTGAAGCTATGGTACGTGTATTAAGAAACAAAGCAGAAGCAGGTGCATTGGCATTGAGTGGGCAAATGAAGGCTCAAAACATGTGTGCTTTAAATGTGAGTCTGAGTTACGGGGAGCTTCTGGAGAGCGTTTTGGAGTTTCCTGTCGAGGCAGAGCTACCGCGTCGACTGGATGAATCTGAGAAGAGTTTAAAAGAAGGATGGCGTTGGGACTTATTCTTCCCAGCTAATGCTCCTCTCTGGGAGTACTTCCAGTCCCGGATGCAGGGACCAATGGTTGCAAATGACGATATTGGTGGTAGTATCATCGAGGTTTTGGAGGAGCAGTGGAATGTACATAGTGGTGTAGTTCAGAATTTTAGCGACAGCATGGGATTTGATAGTTTGACCGAGGATAACAATATTGCCAACGACTTTGTCACTGATTTTGATCTACACGAAGCCAAGGCAATAGAAAATGAGCTTGAAGCAGAACGAATTGAACGAGAAGAGGTGTGCCCTTGGTACCTGTGATTTAACCATGAACAGTATTCTGTGAAGTTACTGACCCTTCCTTGGGTTCCTCAGAATTTACAGAATCCAATGAGATAGTATTTAAGTTTGATAACCCTTTTCGGACTTCTGAACATTTAGCGGGTTTGACATGATTGAATGGCAAGTGTCAAAGACGCATGTGCGTTCCCCCCCTCCCCCATAACTCTGACTTCTGTCTTCATCTTTTTTTTTCGCAGTTGCTTGAAAGGAAGATTCTATTGCAATCTACTTGGGAGGATATCAGCAAAATGGTGAAAAAAACTGAGGTTCACAAGGATGATTTGAAAGAAAGATCCGATGCAGAAATCCAGCGCTCTGGACAACCTTTATGTATATATGAGCCATATCATGGTACAGGTGCATGGCCGTTCCTTCACGACGAGAACACTCTTTATCGAGCCATAAGTCTTGTAAGCTACTTAGCCAGCTCTTGCCATTCTCATGAGTGTATGCTGTTATTTAGGTCTGCTGATCTATGTAGATTATATCCAGATCATGTATTTCACCTAAAAAAGGATAATTTGACTGAATTCATCGTTTAAGTCATATATGATTGTTCGATCTTGGAATGAAACCACTGCGTCATTGTAAGAACAACGCAAGAGCTTCAATTCTTTCTGTAGGTTTTGCGTGCTTCAGTTCTTTGTATTATGTCATGCTCATGTCCTGGCAGTGACAGGTTGATGCGCCATTGGACACTGAGGAATATTAAGTCTCTAGTGTATACTTTCTTCTATCCTCGTACCTGTAAGTTGATATTATTATGGCTTTAAGTTGTAACGTTACAACTGGCTGTTGCAGATTACTTCATGTTTTTTTTATTTGAATTTCCCTTCTTTTTGCAGTCCACACATGCAAGGCGTCCGACAGATGATGATGTTGATGCCCAGGAACGGTTGCCTGGACTCTTGAACGACTCATATTATCGCAATGTTTTGTGCGAATTTGGAACATTTTTTGCGATCGCCAACCGCATTGACGTTGTCCACAAAAATCCGTGGATTGGCTTTCAGCCGTGGCGGGCATCAAGCAGAAATGTATGTAAATCTCTTGTTGAAACTTGTAAGCTAGATCGACACCCGTTCTGTAACTTGAACGCTTTTGTTATTTCATGCATTTGTTATAAAATGGTAGGCACATTGTACTAACAAGGATACATTGAATTCAGGTTGCATTGACAGCCGCGGCTGAAGCTGCTCTGATTGAAGCAGTGAGCACCGGGAGAGATGGTGATGCCGTCTACTTCTGGGCTCGAACTGATGGCAATGCTGGTACATCAGGGGAGGGTTCTTTTGTAGAGCCAGCAGTTAATTTCTGGACTTATTGTGACTCTGTCAATTCTGGGCAATGCAGGTATGGCTCTTTTCATTGCTCTCCAAGGAAATGCTCTCATGCGAAAAAAATGAATAGAAGTGGAAGTTATTCGAAGCTTATAACAAACTAACTAATGACATCAAATCATAGACCTGGATCATGAACACCATACTGAAAATACTAAGTACAGTTGAGCCCTTCTAATGGACCTCAGAGCCGAAATTTGACGGTATGACCGTCTGCTAATGAAAGACAATATTATTAGTAGCGCTTGTCATTTGCATGTCGTTTTCCTGGTCCACGAAGTGCTCAAACAGGATAGGAATATGAAATGATTAGACCTTAAGCAGTTTTAATCTTGCAGAGAGGCTTTTACTATGTCGATGAGGCGCATGTATGGCCTGCCTGATAATTGGACATCTTTGCCGCCGATGCCAGATGATGGTGGCACCTGGTCTGCCTTGCATTCCTGGGCAATGCCGACATCATCTTTTGTGGAGTTCATCCTGTTTTCGAGGTAATTTCTTCTCATGGCGCAGTCCTCAGTCCCAAGTTCACTGTTTGCCAATGTTTCGAGATGACAATGTCGCATCTCTTCCTTGGAGCCGGTGCTTGGTTATTGAGGTAGTAATTCCATCATTATTTACTGAACAGAATTCCTTGGCGAGTTGTGCATGTCAGATACTTGTGCCACCATTTTTTGTGCATATAATGACTGATGAGTCAAACGGTTATTCATGACAGGATATTTGTGGATGCACTGGATGCTCAGTATTACGAAGAACATCACTATCTTGGAAAGTGTCGCTTTGCTAGTTTCCAGCGTGAGGTAATTCTTTCCCCTGTTTTTTAATCGAATGCTGCACCAATTTTTTCTCCACTACAAGGATGCAAAATTTGAGGGCATTTTCAGATACTTTCCACATATTTTCAGGGACTCTAAATAGATCACATCAGAGCATTGGTCTTGACCATGGGACATGACATTTTCTATTTCCTTGCAGGGTCAGCATTGCTACTGCCGGCTACTGGAAGGACTGGTCAACGTATGGGCATATCACAGTGCCAGGAGTATGATTTATGTGAACCCCAAAACAGGGGAGATGGAAGAGCAGCATGCGCTAGAATCACGTCTTGGCAATATGTGGGTCAAATTTTTCAGCTTGAGTACCCTCAAGACCATGGACGAGGACCTTGCAGAGGCAGCTGATGATGGTGACCATCCCAGGGCACGGTGGTTGTGGCCACAAACTGGTGAAGTATTCTGGCAAGGAATTTTTGAGCGTGAAAAAGAAGAGCGATTGAGATTAAAGCTGGAAAAAAAGAAAAAACTCAAGGAAAAGTTGGCTCGGATGAGGAATAAGACGTACAGGCAAAAATCTCTGGGAAGATACATCAAACCTCCCCCGGGACTAGGATACCTATCTCCTTCCGGATGAACTAGGCCAAAGTTGTCGTGGCATCCAAAATGAAGTCAGCATCACCACTTTCTGGACAAAATTACTGTCCTTGAGACTCACCAATATTTGCCGAGGAAGAATCGAAAGCTGGAGATTACAATCCAGGTACTGGGCTCCATCAAGTTTTAACAGATTGTAACAACAGTCTACATCCAAACAGTAACTGCGAATGGTTGATTGCTGTCTCTCGCTCGGCAGCTTGCATGAAGTCGATATCCTTCCTTAGGGAGCTGCAGCTACTGGGATCTTGGTGATAAACACAAGATTTCGGAAGAGCACAAATTCAAGTTTGAGGTCCTGAAACTTAATGAATCAGGATGTTCTGAGACATGTTCTCCTGGCGACATTCCTTCGGGAGAGTGGTTCCAAGATCTGAATAGTTGATTAATTTTACCTCGTGCGTGTTCTATTGCATCATATACCCAAAGTGCAGACTAAGAACTGACAGAATTGAAAGATGAAAACTCAGGTGGCATTGCGGGCTTGTCTGAGAAACCAAACCAGAAAAGTTTTTCTAAAATTTTCCCATCGAAAGGGTGAGCGCTTGAAGGAATGCTCCATAATGATGTGGACTACAAAGGTACACATTCTGCTCAGAATCACATTCCAAATGGGGAGATTTAACTAGAAATTGTTCTGATTGGACATTGTACTGCTAGTTCTGAGGGTCGATTTGAGCTTCTTCTGTAAGAAAAAAAAAGGATTTTAACTGAAACTAGGAGGTTGTAAATACAGGTCACTCTATTTTGAGCTTGTTCCTTGCAAGCATTCTTTTAATCCGACTTTTCCGTTTTGGAATCGTTGAGGGAACGAAATACATTTCCAGATCAAGCTGTATGCTGACATGAATCCTATATGTGAAGGCAGTGTTGCAGTGGTTGGGGAGTTTACTTAACCATGGAGTAAACTTTTCTTGTTTGCATTTTGCAATTTAATTTAATCGGCGATCCTGTGACCTATTTATCCGTTGACAAAATTTTCGTGTACTGACTTCTTTTACAATTTTTGTGGACTGATTTTAATATACAGCACAACGATGGGTTCGACAGAAGTATTTGTATAGGAAGTTTGCATGTTCTGGAACTAAATTTGCAGCATGGCCATTAGTTTTATGATTTCTTCTGCCGCATAGTTCACATGCTGCCCAATCATCCCCATATTTTCTCAGTGCTACAAAACAAGCTGGATCTTACAGGTTCGGTTGACCATTATTTGTAATGTGGACTTAACAAATAATTTGCTGCTATTTTTCACTAAACAACAGTTCGTACAATACGTAACAGGTTATTTGTGCTCTACCATGACAATATGAAAGTTAAAACCCACAAATCTGCACATCTTTGGAGCAGTCTTACTCAATTGGACGACCACAAAGAATTAATCTCCTCAGTTCATCATGGATGAATATCTGAAGTCAAAGAATCAACCCACACATTGTGCATATTATGGATTAATATCTAAAATCAATACTCATCCATGTTTGGGATATTTGGGTTAATTATTTTTCAAAATCCTTGCTTGATTTGTTAACATGATGAGAGTGGTCCAAAAGAACTTACATGTCTCAAAATTTAAAGATAATGAGAGTAACTCAAGAAATAATGACCTTATAAAAGTTGCTTGTCTTAAAATTTAAAATTAAAAAGAATAGCTTAATGTAAGTCAATCTAAAAGAAATTGCATGTTTCAAAGATTATGGCTTAATTTAATGAATTAATACTTAAGAAATTTTAAAGTTGGTACATTATCAATTTAGCTTTAATTTAGAATCTTGTTGTTTACAAAATTTATCTTGAGCAAACACAAAGCTTCTCTAGAACTCTCTAAGTTTTGTTCTCAAAATCATAAGTATATTTATGAAAAAAAATGATGCTATTCCTACTTGTTGCATGCAAGTCAAAAGATATAAAGTAAGTAATAAGTGAAAGGTTGAACCTTTGTTCAAACTTAAAACCTTAAACTTCCTTGTTTCTCTCTTTTCTATTTTTACTTTAGAGGTACTTCTATACAATTTCAAATAGAACAATCACTAGAAGTTGTTAGATTATTTAATTTTACTAAATCACTTTTGAATTGAGGTTTTTTATTTATAGAAAAAAATAAAAAATATCTCATATAGGCAATCTCTATATTACTTAATATTTTTAGAAATCTTAGAAATATATACAAGTGATAAGCATTTTAGAGCCTTAAGCAAGTATTTATATATAACACTAATAAGAGTGGAATTACTTATCTCTCTTGTAAAAGGCACAATCTTCTACAAAAATATTTCTTAGTGCTATGGTTCTTTGATCATCTTTGCACCACCTTTGTTTTTAATTTCTCATCTTTGTACAATACATTTTCTTATAATTGAACAATCTCAAACTTTTGAAATGAGAACACCTACCACCATCTTACTTCTTTTACAATTGTGATTCAAATCTCAGATTAGTTCTACAACAAAGTTTTTATTTATTTATTTATTTTTAAAATCTTACTTTAGTTTTTGCTTTTGATTTTTTTTAATCCATATTGATTTTTTAAAATATTGATTGTGATTTTTAATTTATAACTATTGTTTATAAACTTAATTTATGTACAAATCTTTATTTTATTGAATCACACTACTTACTTGTGCTATATTATGGCTATGTTCAATTGGCATTTCTTAAATACATTAGATTAATATATGATTTTAATTAGATCTTTTAATTACTTTTTAAATTATTTTTATTTTTTTATTTTTTTATTAAAGGATTTTATATCAAAATAAGAATGTTAGCCGTTTTTTGTTTTTTTTATTATGTCTTTAGTTATTTTTGGTATTTATTTATTTATTTATTTATTTTTAAGATTTAAGGATTAAAATTTTAAACTAGATCACACCAAATATTAATCTCAAAAGAAATTACTGTAATGACTTATATTAAAATATAATGATAAAGTAGATATATTAGACTTTTGATTATAAAAGAAAAATATTTAAAGTTTGCATATTCTTATTATGATTTTTTTTAAAAAAATGTGATGTTTAGAAACACCCTTCTTGAAAACCTTAATTCTCTTAGAAATCCTAAATCTAAAATTTTAAAAATCTTATCAGCTCTAAATCTCAAAACCTATCAACTTAAAATAAACCTTAAATATACTCTATGTCATTTTTAAAGTATTCTTAAGAAAATCATAAGAGATCCTAATAAAATCTTTAAAATATCTTAAGAGATCCTAACAAATCTTAAAGACTTTTATTTAAATCTTTAACTAAGTTCTAAAATGATAGTAAAAAATCCTAAATAAATTCTAAAGAAAATTAAAACATATTCTAAAGAAACTATATGATAATTCTTATAAATCTTGAGAAAATTCTAAAACAATTCTTGAAAAATCCTAAATATTAGTGAATCCTAATAATAATACAAAGAAATCTTTAGATAATTCTAAAAAGTGAAATAAGTATAATTAAGCAATTAAATATTATAAAACTAATCATAATTTATTTATTATATTTTTATTCATTAAAAAGTAAATATAAATATATATAAATATATATATTTTTTAAATAGATAATATTTAATATTTTTAATAACATAATTTTTTTTATAAATTTTGATTACAATGAGTAAGTTATGATAGTTTAAAAATAAAAAATAAAAGATTTAAGTGAATAATTTTACCTCAAGGATGACTTACTTAAAAAAATAAGAATTTAAGTCTCACCAAGGATCAAAAGTAGTGTATATGAGTGTTTGTGTTATCTACATACCTATATTTATCTACATAATATGAATAAATAAAAGTATATAAAAATTAATTAATTTAATAATAACTTATAGAAAAGCTTCTTAGAAGCTTTATAAGTACAATTTTACCATTATGTATATATCTATAGGTGATTGATAGGTTAAAAACTTGGCTAATAAGTTAGCCATATATTACACATTGATAGCTTGTGGTACAAGCTAACAATGTGGCACTTATATAAAAAACTTGTTTTGCAAATTAACACATGTGTCTTGTAAATTGGATACATGTTGGAGGTCATATAGAACATTGTCATATAATTCTTAGGTAGATAGTTGTCATAGACATATATATTTACTTCAATAGTTAGTTATATGATTAAATAGAAGTAAGTAAAATAGAATAATTTCATAAAATTTTCTAGAGAAGCTTCCTAGAAGCTGTATAGATGCGGTTTTGACTTTAGATGTATTCGTAGGTTAGAAACTTGGCCAAAAAGCTAACCATGTATTGATAGCTTGTGGAATAAGTTACCTCCGTGTAGTAACTTGTGGAATAAGCCAACTATGTGGCGCATACATAGATAACTTACCTTACAAGATAAGACATGTGGCTAGCAAAGTCAACACATGTTGGAAGTCCTATAGGACATCGCCACATGGCTCTTAGTTAGATAGTATATATGGAGGCAAGCATGAAGCCTTCTTCACTCTTGTCAATGCCTTTCTAGTCTTAGTCTTGTTTCAAGACTTTCCAGTCTTCTTGTTTTTGGCAATAGGTATTCTAGTTAATATTACATCACCTTTTGAGTGACTTTCTAATTCTCTTCAGTGATAGAAGAGTGTATTGAGGATTCTCTTTCTTTGAGTTTTATATCCTTGATAGTTTGAGAAGAGTGGTAACATATTGTTCTCTCTTCTTCTAGAAGTGAGTGGATTACTCCACTTCTATTATTGTATTTTGAAGGTTGCAGACTATCCACCTTTAAATAAAAAATCTTATTTTCTAATACTGATCTTTTCCTTAAAGAGAGTGGATTATCCCTCTTTGTGGGATTTGTTTTTAGAGGTTGCGGATTACCCTCGTCTAATTTAACTTTTGAATTCATTTGAGTTGTCTATGGAAGAAAAGATTATAGATGCTACTCTCAATAGAAGTGAGAATAGATTTGCAACTATAGCAGATCTTCATGAGCTTGTCAACACTCTAAGAGTGGAAATCTCATGTATTTCCAATGTGAATCATGGAAGTACTATACCTATGCCTATGGAAGAAGTTCAAAGTTTATGACAGGAAGTTGTGCAGTTGAAAGGAGCAAATAAATCAACGTCACAATCAAATCCAAGGAATTTTGCTTCTACAAGTATGACGAGGACAAGTCCTTTCCAATATCTTGATGGATTTATCCAAGTCGGATTTATAGGCATACTACTATCAGGAAGTATTCTCTTTTGGTTTGCACCTTTAATGGAAAAAGATTCACGACTCCTTTACAATTTGAATTCATTTCTAGAAGTATTTACGGCCACATTCAGAGCAAGTGATCGAGAACGAGTAGCAGAGACCAAGCTTCTATCCTTATGGTAAGGATCACGATCAGCCACTACATATGCTATGAAATTCTAAAATCTTGCTTGCGACATAGACTGGAACGACAAAGCACTTATGAACCAATTTTGATATGGATTGAAGGATAGCATCAAAGATTTTTTATTAACAATGTCGAAAGTAGAATCTTTGAAATAATTTATTACTCAAGCCATTGCATGCGATAATCATTTATTTGAAAGGCATCAAGAATAAAGATTTAATTGGAGAGGAACAAGTCAAGTAATGGCGACAGCTCCCAAGTTTTTTGAAACGTATTTGTCAAAGCTGGAACCAATACAAATTGATATGATACATTTTAAACCTCTCACAAAGGAGGAAAAGACTCGACATCGCCAAAAGGGATTATATTTATATTATAGAGAAGCTAAGCACATTGCTCAATATTGTCCAAAGAAACAACACAATTACAAAATGAGGAGCATAATTACCAAAGAAGATAATGTGTCAAAAAACGAGTTTCTCTAGCTACAATAGCGACCGTGCGGCTGGAATCATGTGCAACACCTAGTAAAGGTCCTATCTTCTCCCTAGATCCTTCACCTTGTTTTATAATAGAAGTATATTTAGAACCTAATAATCACATAGTCTTTGCCTTGTTAGATTTAGGAGCCTCAACATGTTTTATAGATGAAGATTTTGCCTAAAATCAAAAAATACATTTAGTGAAGAAAGTTAAGTCCGTACACGTAGAAGTCATAGATGGTCGTTTGTTGTCTTCTAGAAATATTATCCATGAAACTATTCCTTTAGGTATAGCAATTAAAGATCATAACAGCGTAGTAGTATTTAATGTAATAAAATCTCCCTCTAATCCAGCTATTTTAGGATTATCATGGCCAAAAAAATATAACCCTCAAATAGATTGGATTTCTCATAACCTTAATTTTCTTGATAGTATAATCCAAGATCGCATTAGCAAAG